AGGTAGGAGGATCGTTTGAGAATTTGAGGTTACAGTGAGCTATAATTGTACCACTCTACTCTACTCCAGCCTGGGCAACAGAGTGAGACCTTGCCTCAAAAAAAATTTTGTGTTTTGAAAAGTATAGTACTCAGCCCTATATAAATATATTTTATTTCAGGAATCCACTGAGGGTCTTGCAGCTTATCCCTCGGGGATAAGAAGGGACTGCTGTACCTTTGAGTAATTTATAAATGACAAATTTATTGTTCACAGTTCTGGAGGCTAAGAATTCCAAGATTAAGGTGCTGACAGATTTAGTGTCTGGTGAGGGCCTGTTCCTCATAGATTGCACATTCTGGGTGTCCTCATATAGCAGAAGCGGGGGGGCTCCCCCAGCCTCCTTAGTCTCATTCATGAGGGTGGAGCTCTCATGACCTAATCACCTCCAAAAGGCCCCATCTCTTAACACTACCACAATGGGGATTAGGTTTCAGCTTGAATTTTGGAGGGATACAAAGCATTCAGACCACAGCACTCCTCAGTGATTTCAAACTATAGTTTTCAAGTGTTCACAGAGATTTTCCCATTTTGTCTTATTTCCCGTATGATTTCATTAAGGTAAGCTAACATAGTTTGGTTTCTATTCTTTTTTTCCTTTTTGCCGTCTAAGATGCATGACACATGTATTACATGATTTCTTTTCTTTTATACTTGTTAAAATTTTTTTATGGCCTAGGATATGGTCTATTTTAGTGAATGCTTCATGGGCATTTGGAAAAAAATGAGTATTCCGCTGTTATTTGGTGGAGTGTTCTATCAGTTGCATTCTGCTGGTTGTGTTCTGATTTATGTCTTGGTTGATTTTATGTCTGGTGATTCTGTCTAGGGGGTGTTGTAGTCTCCAACTACACTTGTAGATTTGTCTGTCTCTTTTTAGCTATGTCAACATTTTTCATGTACTTTGAGGCTCTTACAGTTAGGTGCGTAAACTTAGCATTTTAAAGTCTTTCTGGTAGATTGATCCTTTTATCATTATATAATGTCCCTTTTTGCCTCTCATAATTTTTTTACTTTATTAATGTAGTTGTGCTTTATTTTTTAAAAAGTGTTGCTGGGCGGGGGTGGGGGGTGGGAATAAAAAAAGAAAAAAGTATGTTGGTGGGATATCTTTTTCCCTCCTTTTAGTTTTTGATCTTAAGTTGTTGAATTTGGAGTGTATTTCTGGTAAAGAGCATGTAATGATGTCATGTTTCTTAATCTACTCTATCCCAGTCTGTTTTGATTGGAGTAAAGTATTTACATTTATTAATAACATTATACTGTTAACAACTACCACTGGTATATTAGGAGTTGAGTCTGACATTTTATTGTTTTCTGTTTTCTCTGTTTCTTGCTCCTGTTTCTCTCTTCTTGACTTAACTGGCTACTTGACTATTTTAAAGGATCTTATCTAGATATATTTATATTGTTTTTGGGTATATCTCTTTGTATAATTTCTTAGTGATTGCTCTGGGTATCACAGTATACTTATGTGACTTAGAATAGTTTACTGATATTTGTTTTACTGTTTTGAGTGAGATGTAGAAATCTTTTTTCCATTTAGCTGCCCTTACTCTCCCCACTTTTAAATATCACTGTCTTGATTATCTGACGGTGTTACAATTTTTGTCATCATATATCATTTAAAAAACTCATAAGGAGGTAGTCATTACTTACATCTCTCCATTATTTTTTCTTCCTGATCCTCCAAGAGTCCTTCTTTTGTTATTTTCTTGCTGTTTGGACAGCTTCCTTTAGCTATTCTTTAAGGTTTGACAAATTTTATTTTCTTTCACCAGAGAATGTCTTGATTTTCCTCTTCATTTTTTTAAGGATAGTCTTACTGGATATGGAATTTATGGTTGAGTGACAGTTCTTTTCCTTCAGCACTTGAAAAATGTGTGCCACTTTCCTCTGGCCTCCATAGCTTCAGATGAGAAGACACTGTCATTGGAGTTGGTGTTCCCCTGTATGTATCATGCCATTCCCCTCTGGCTGCTTCAAAATATTTTGTCTTTAGTTTAAGAAGTTTAGTCATGATGTGTCCTGGTGTGGATTTCTTTAGGTTTAGCTTATTTGGAGTTCACTCAGTTTCTTAAAACATTTCATTCATTTGTATCATTCAGCATGTTTGGGAAGATTTTATCTCTTTCAGTTACTCTTTCTGCTCTTCCATCTGCTCCAGTGATAGAACCCTTGGATCTTTAGTTCCTCTTCTCCCATAGGTCTCAAAGGCCCTGTTCTTCTTTTCTCCTTTGTATTTTCTGCCTGTTGTTCAGATTGGGTAAATTCTGTTGCTCTGACCTCAAGTTCAATGATTCTGTCTTCCGTCACCTCAACTCTTGCTGAGCCCATTCAGTGAGTTTTAAAATGTCTGTAACTATATTTTTGAGTTCTTTATTTGGCTGTCTTTACTGAAATTTTCTAGTTTTGTTTCAGGAGAATTTGTGATTACTTGGGAGTGATTTCATGCTAGTTGCTTTAAAATCCTTCTCAGATAGTTCCAGCATTTGATTTATATTGGTGTTTGTGCTGATTCATTGTCTTCTGATTAAAGTAGTCGTTTCCGATGGCTTCCTGATCATTTTGGCTGTTTTGTTAGGAAACTCTGGATATTGTTTTATTTTAGCAGTAGTCACCCTGTTGAGGTGTAGCATTCAGGCCTGTCCTACTTCTGTGACTGTGGTTCTGGTGATAGTCTGACCTTCCTAGCCTCTGTGGTGCTATTTCAGTTGCTTGACTTACCTCCTCCCCTGGAGCTCCCATGGGTTCCTGCTGATGTTGCTCGAGAGCAGAAGGAGCTTCCCAGCCTGGGCAGCATGCTGCCTCTGGATGGACAGAAGAGTGTCTGTGCACAGGACCAAGAGCTTCCCAGGCTGGTTGGTTGGTTTGTCAGACTACCCCTGCCTCTGAGGGGTGGAACGTTTCACCTTCACTGCTGGGTGCATGGAGTATGGCTCCCTGTGCTGGTGTCCACCACTCCCCTCAGCTGCGTGGCTTCCCTCAGTGGGCAGAGGAGTCTTATGACAGTGGGGAAAGAGAGTTTGCTGGTGATGGTGGTCACACTGCAGGATTTCCTGGGTACAGGGTGTGTCTGGTCTGTGGGAGTGGCTGGTGTCTCAGGCCCACCCGTTGGGGAAGGAGTGCTTCTGGGCTGGGTGATCTCTTGCTGATGTCCCTACCTTGTTAGTGGGGCTTGGGCTGGCCTTGCAAAGTAGGTGGGACTCCTGCTCCATCCAGGACAGAATGAATGTACCTAGGTTGTGTCTGTTGCTAGGCAGGGAGTCAGGAAGCATTGGGCCTGAGTCACCTCCTGCTGGGTGGGTGGTCATAAGAATACCCTGTTGCTGTGTTGGTCCACCAGTCCTGGGGCCACAAGCCCCAGTTTACCTTCCTCTTCCATCTCTCAGAGTCCTCCTTTCCCTTTTGGGTTCTTTCCCGGGTTTATGGTTGTGTTTAGAGGAGAGGAGCAGGGAGAGACAAGTCTGTGCCATTTTCTCCTGGCCAGAAATTCCTTCTGGCTCCTTGAAAAATCTTCCCTTTGTCTTTGGATTTCATCAGTATTACTGTGAATTCTTTGGTCTGTGGATGTCTTTTTTTTTGAATCTTGCTGGCATTTTCTGGTGTTTCTTGAGATTATGGTTTCATGAATTTTACAAGTATTGCAAGATTCTCATCCATTACGTATTTAACTACTGTTTTTGCCCGTTTTTTTCTCTCCTTGGGCCTCCAGTTACATTTCAGTGGCACAGTGTCTATTATTTATCTTCTCTATTATAATTTCCATTCTTGTGTCTCATTGTTCTTCATTCAAGATGCTTTAATTCTCTCATCTGTATCTAATCTGTTGTTCTTTGGTCCATTGTATAAAGTTAAATTTAATATGTTTTTGTGTTCTGTAATCTTTGTTTCTTCAATTTTCCTTTTCTTTTTTCTCCCCTCCCCCTCTCCTTCTTTCCCCTTTCCCTGCTCTCCCCTGCCTTCCTCTCCTCCCCCCTCCTTTCCCCTCCCCTCCCTTTCTTCCCTTCACTCCTTTTCTCTCTTCCCCTCCCCCTTTTCTTCTTTCAACCATATCTCATTCTGTCTCCCAGGCTGAAGTGCAGTGGCAGAATCATGGCTCACTGTAGAACTCCTGGGCTCAAGTGATCCTCTAGCCTCGACTTCCTGAGGGGCAGGGACAATAGGCAGGTTCTACTTTGTCCACCTAATTTTTAAAACTTTTTTGTAGAGACAGGGTCTCACTGTGTTGCCTAGGCTGGTCTTAAACTCCTGAACTCAAAAGATCCTCCTACGCTGGCCTCTCAAAGTTTTGAGATTATAGATGTGAGCCACTGTGCCCAGCCTAGAATTTCTGATTTGTTCTTTTGAAAAATTTACTTATAGAAATTGGGTCTTGCTACATTGCCTGGTCTCCTGGGCTCAAATGGTCTGCCTACCTTAGCTTTCCAAAGTGCTGGGATTCAGGTGTGAGCCACCACACCCAGCCTATTTTGTTCTTTATCTATAATCTGTCAAATTCTTTTTTCTTCTTTTGATTTTTTGTAATTTCCACTTTTCTGCCAAAAATTTCAGTTGTTTGAAGCATGGTAACTTAAAGTCTATGGCTGGTACCTTAAGTTGTAGGGTCCTGTGGGCCTGTGTTGTGACATTTGGTTTTTAGCAGTTTCTTATGAAGTGTCTGCACATGGTTTTCTTTGAGTTTATTCTGTTTGGGGTTTTCTAGGCTTCCTGAGCCTGTAAATTGGTGTCTTCCACCAGATTTGGGTCATATTTATTCATACACTTTTTGGCACCAGTCTTTTCTCTACTGATACAAGTGTTGGAACTTTTGATGGTGTCTTATACTCCTGAACACTTGTCATTGTATCACATCAGTTTCTTCTCTCTGTTCTTCAGATTGGATTGTTTCTGTTGATCTACTTTCAGATTCACTGACTTCCTCTATCATCGCCATTCTTCTATTGAGCCCATCCAGTGAATTTTTTTTTGTAGTCAGCTATTTAATTAGGTTCTTAAGACATTTAGAACACCAATTCGTGAGGATAAATTCCATTTGTCAGGGCAAACACAAATGGCAGGTAGCCCTGGAGCTGAGGAATAGCTTTGATTTTTGGTAAGATTTGAGTCCACAGCTTTCTGATCAATCTTGCTCTGCTTTGTGAGCTTATATTTCTCTTTTCCTGTGTTGAAGATCTCACCTTCCTGGTGTCTGGGCTTCCGCAGCTGCGGCTGCTTGAAGTAAGCATCAGTAAGATGTTTCGGGATTTTTACATTGCTGATAATCAATTTTGGTTGAGGTGTCAATGACCGATTTCTGGTGTGTTCTTTGTAGAGGAATTTGATTGAGGACCAGAGGCGGAGTCACAAGTAACAACGCATTAGCCAGCTGCTTTAGGAAAACTGCCCTGTTGCCCCCGTGGAGTCCATTGAGGATGATCAGAGTGTCCCCGGGAGTAATGCTGGCTCGAAGTTTTCTCACGTGCTGACTGAAGGGTTTTTTGCCGTGGCTCAACAGCTTTTGAGGCACATCTTCAGTAGGATGATAGCTAGACATTTTGCGAAGTTTAACCACTGCCGTTCCTGTCACCACCAACTGGTTTTGTCACAGTTGCAAGAACCTTCTCCTTTTTCTTTTCAACCTAGGATTTAGTGGCTGGGTACTTTTTCTTTTACATGGCCTTTCTGAAATACGTGGAATCGAGAATACTTGCCAATTCCTCTGACGAGGACAGGATTGCGGCTGCAATGGGCCTTCCCCTTCCTGGGCTTTTTAGCTTTGAGGTTACCCTTTGTCATCTTGCCACCAGCATCAGCCTTCTTGGCTTTGGGTTTCTTCTCTTTAGTATCGGGCTTCTTAGCTTCTTGACCTGCCATCTTGCAAGATGGGAAAGAGCCATCCAGTGAATTTTATGTTGTTGTTGTACTTTTTAGTTCTGAAATTTTCGTTCTAGTTTTTAATTTCTCTGCTGAGAACTTCTGTCTTCTCATGTATTTTAAGAGTGTGTAGCTTTACCTCATGGAACTTATAATAGCTGTTTTAAAGTCTTTGATAACTAACATCTGGGTCATTTGGGGGTTGGCCTCTGTTGGTTGTCTTTTCCTTTGAAAATTGGTCACATTTTCCTGGTTCTTTGTTGAATAATTATGGATTGGGCTCTGGACATTTTGAACATCATGCTGTGAGACTGGTTTCTGGGTCCTGTTAAAGTTCTTTGGATAATGTTGATTTTGTTTTGCAGCTGGGTTGCAATAAACCCCATTGGTTTCAGCCCAGGATGTCTGTTTTGCCGTCACGGGTGATGGCTACAGTGTTGATTTGGCTCTCACAGCCTTTGCCTATGGGCCCGGGCCTGCCCAAGGCACCCACAGCTCAGGAGTAGGCCTGGATCGTGCAGGCTCATGCTCGTCTCTGGAGATCCCTCTCCAAGTCTCCTTTTGTGGATTCCCTCCACACTTTCTGGCTCCCAGGAACCTTATTCCTCAGCCTCTGCCCAGAAAGATGGGGCTTCCCTGTTTCCACTGCTGTGCCATCACCACACGGCCCTGTGACTGTGGGAGCCTGGTCAGGCCAGGAGAGAGAAGTGGGAGCCCTCAGGATTTCCCCTCCAGCTTCGAGGAGCCCCTTCTCCTGGTCCTCTGGCCAGAGAAAGATGGTGTTTCTCTCAGAGCCTGGCTGTCTGTACCTGCTGCCCGGTTCTGTGACTGGGGCTGCCCTCAGGTCCAGCCAGGACAGCAAAGAGAAAACAAACCTGAGGAGTCCCCTGTTTAGGATTCCTCCTTCAGAATGTACCCTCCTCCCCAGTGTGCCTGCTGCAGCTGACTTTCCAGAGTCCTTAGGTAGGTTTGTTTTTTTTAAAATTGTTACAGGAAAGGTCCCAATCCAGACCCCAAGAGAGGGTTCTTGGAGCTCACGAAGGAAAGAATTCAGGGCGAGTCCATAAAGTGAAAGCAAGTTTTTTTTTTTAAATTGTATTTTAGGTTTTGGGGTTAGCTGTAGTCTGCAGGAGAGAGGGGCTGTCCTGGACTGACTTCATCTTCGTAGGCCTCGAAAGTCTGGGAGCCTGCTTCTGTTGTTTGTCGTTTCTGCTGGCTTTTGCTGATGATGTCTTGTCATTTTGCTTATCTGACCACTGTATGTGAAAGATTTTGGAAATAATCTGAGGCCTAAGATGTCATATCTTCCCACGGCAAGTGTCTGTTGGCTTTCAGCAGTCCCTTGGAGACAGGAACAGATGGGGTCACCCTACCTGAGGCCCTGGTGGAGGTGCTTCACACATGCAGTCCACACCTGTGGGAGGCCTCACACACCACAACTCACACATACAGAGGCGCCACACACACTCCACACCTGTGGGAGACTCCACACACACAACTCACATACACACAGGCTCCACACACAGCTCACATCTGCAGAATCTCACACACAGAGGCCATGTTTTAGTCTCCCTGAGGCTTGGCTGCTTCAAGTTAGCTCCTGTGCCTGGGGGCAGCCCTTCAGGTTTCCTACCCAGAGTGTATGGTAGGCACAGTTGGGCAGGCCCTGGAGTCCGGTTTTTGTTCTTAGAAAAGGTGTGGTGCCAGAAACTCAGCCTGCCATGGTTACCACCTCTTCTGACACAGACAGCTAGTCCCAGATGCCCTTGGGGAAAGTGCTGTCACGGGCGGGTTCTCTAGATTTCGTCTTCTCCCTGAACTTGCCCTGGTCCCTGAATTTGCCCTGGTGATTCTTCACCACCCGGTTGGCTGGCCAGAGCCTCCCACAGGTGTGGATTGTGTGTGCAGAGCCTCCGGGTGTGTGCTGTGTGTGTGGACCCTCTGTGGGTGTGAGTTGTATATGTGGAGCCTCTGTGGGTGTGAGGTGTGTGGAGCCTCTGTGTGTGTGAGTTGTGTGTGTGGAGTTTCCTGCAGGTGTGGATTGTGTGTGTGGAGCCTCTGTGTGTGTGAGTTGTGTGTGTGGAGCCTCTGAGGGTGTGCGCTGTGTGTGTGGAGCCTCTGTGGATGTGAGTTGTGTGTGTGGAGCCTCTGTGGGTGTGAGATGTGTGTGGAGCTTGTGTGTGTGTAGTCTCCTGCAGGTGTGGGTTGTGTGTGTGGAGCCTCGGGTGTGCGCTGTGTGTGTGTAGCCTCTGTGGATGTTAGTTGTGTGTGTGGAGCCTCCCGCAGGTCTGGAGTGTGTGCCGGGCTGCTGTGTGTGTGTACTGTGTGTGTGGTGCCTCTGTGTGTGTGCGCTGTGTGTGTGGTGTCTCTGTGTGTGAGATGTGCGTGTGGAGCCTCCTGCAGGTATGGATTGTGTGTGTGGAGGCTCTGTAGGTATGAGCTGTGTGTGGTGTGTCTGTGTGTGTGAGTTGTCTGTGTGGAGCCTTCCTCAGGTATGGATTGTGTGTGTGGAGGCTCTGTGGGTGTGAGCTGTGTGTGGAGGGTCCTGCAGGTGTGAGTTGTGTGTGCAGAGCCTCCATGGTTGGGGGTTGTATGTGCAGAGCCTATGTGGGTGTGAGCTGTGTGCACTGCCCTGCTGTGTCTGCCATGGGGCTTGTTGGCCTAGGAGGGATCCACTGTGCCTGGAAGGAGGCTCCCTCCCACCTGGCCCCAGGGGCCTCCCTTCTCCTTTGCTCGCGTTTGCTTTGTGCTCCCTTTCCAGGCTCAGGCTGTGTGGTCTGTGTTTCGGTTGCAGTGGCTGTGCACTTTGGGGACCTTGAGATTTCTTCGTGAGCTCGGGGGAGTGAGCTGAGGGTGGGAGCTTATGGGGAGAAGGCCTGGTGCCAGTGCCCCTCCTGCTGGGTTTCTGAGGTGTGAATAAGGATGGCTGGGCGTTAGGTGCAGAGCCTCTGGCCTTATAGTTTGTGCTCTGCTCTTCCCATCCCTTGCCCTCCCATGGCCTCTCAGAAGGCTCAGGGGAAGGAGGAAGAGGGGGCTACGACTGTGACCCCTGCTGGCGCAGTGGGGTCACAGTCACTGTGCTCATGAGATGGTCCAGGGCGGCTGTGGGCAGGTGGGCTCTGTGGCCCCTACAGCCTTTCCTCACCAGCATGTGGCCTCTGCTCTGGGCTTGGCCTTTCTCCGCACTGGGGCTTGTCTTTCCTGGGAGTTCTCTGAGTTTCTGGGAGTGTTTTCCTTTCCTTCGGGCTTCTGTTTGTGCTTCTTGGAGCATTGTTCCATGGTTGCTTTGAATTCTTGTCTGCGGTCCCAACCTTGGGAGCGTCAGGTCGACATCTGTTGGTTGCCTTTTCTCCTGGGAATTGCAGGTTTTCCTGGGGGTCTTTCTTTTTTGTTAAGGAGCTTTGGGTTGTGTGTTGGGCATTTGGAATATTGTATTTGGAGGCCTTGGGTCCTGTTGGAAGCCTGGAGGATATTGATTTTGGTTCGTTCTACCAGGTAGTCCACCCAGTTACCTTGAGACCACAGGCCCTCGCCTGCCTTCTCGGGGTTGAGTTGCGTGTGTGTTTCGTTTTGGGTCTTTGTCCTGCTACCCTGGCAGGACTGTGGGCTGTGGTTCTCACAGTGCTTGCTGTGCCGTTCGTTGTAGTTGCTTCAGGAGCAGCTAGGATGTGACACAGGTTAATAGGGTCTCTGTCCAGCCCCAGTTTTGGAACCCTTTCCCCTCTTGAGGGTTCTCGAGGGTCTCCCTTCCTTGCCTTCTGGGTGGAAGCTGAATCTGCACCTGAGCCTGCCCTGGCATGGCCGGGCCAGCGCCCTGTGGAGTGCCCGCTTGTCTGTGTGCCTGGCGCTCTGCTGTTGAGGTGCAGTTTGTTTTCAGTGGTCCCTGGGTGGGGGTCAGGTGGATTTGGCCCTGCGGGAACCATCACATCAGCTTTTCTTACCCTTGTGTCTGGCCTCTCCAGGTTGGAGCTGGGGCATGGGATGTAGTGGTTTAGAATTGGGAGACCGCTAGCCACTTTTACCTCAAGTTGGAATTATTTCTGTTAGCTCCTTATGTCTGAACAGGAAGAGTATCCACATCTTCCAGGTGGAGACTTTCACAGCTGCGTTTGGGGCCTCTGCAGAGGTGACTCTCACTCAGTGTCAAATGCTGATAGCCAGGCCGCCTACAGGGACATTCTGGGTTAGTTGGGCTTAGCTCCAGGTGGCTCGGATGAGCAGTAGGGCAGAGAGTCACTGTCCTTTGCATCTCCGAGCTGGGCCTGGCACTGCAGTGGCTTGGTGTCTTTTTCTGGGACTAAGTTGGAGGCTGTGCAAGTAGCTGGCTTTAGGTTGGGCAGTGACCGCAGTTGTGGCACCTGCCAGAGGGGTCTCTGCCTTGTGCCACCATGGAAGAGCCGGTGGTTGGTGTGGATGCCTCCCCCCATCCCCCAGCCCTGCGCAGGTGCTGCGGGAGGGCTGCAGTTGACACATGGCTACTTCCTCACCAGCCCTTTCATCCTCCTCATAGTAATAGCAACAGAAGGAATAACTGCTGAAACTCCTGTGTGCATCCATGGAGCTTAGGCTCAGCAGGCACAGGGCAGGAGGTGGACCCTTCCATTGTTTGTAATGGACAGATAGCGGCCAAGGTTCAGAGACGCCCAGTAAGAGGCTGAGCTGGGACTCTGGGCCAGGTGGCTGTGCTGGGCCCTGCCTTTGGGAGACCCCAGTGCTCTGACTGCTGCTCACTGTCAGCTGCCACCCCTCTGAGTTCCTCCTGCACTTAATGTTGACCCCACTTCCACTGCAGACTGCTCAGAGTCTTCTGACTCCTTCCCAGGGCCTTTCTGTGCGGCCCCTGCTGAGGCCTGCAGCCACTGCACATGCGCTGCTCATGGCTCTTCCTTACTTCTGTGCCTGTGGCCGTCTCTTAGTCAGTCCTCAGAATGCTCTTCCCAAGTCTGCCAGCTGAGTCTGGCAGGCTCTGTGGTCTTCGTGCATGCATCCTTCTCAGCCTTCCTTGGTGCTTGCTCCCTCTTTGAAACCTTCTCCTCCTCTGGCC